ATTCTAGCGAAAACCTGACCCTCACAAACACAATGTGTCTAGGCCCGGAAAACAACCCCTAACCCTGACTTCCACACTGTCGCTCCACCTCAACTCGGGCCTCAGGACAGGTGTCCACGCTGCCACCCTGTAGACTCTTATGATCTCCCGGACCATCACCCTAACCCTTCCCCTGGCATTCAGGCAGTTTTTCATTCAGGCAGTTCTGCTGCTTCACTAGTTTTGGGCACTGGGAACACTGTCCTAAGTGCAGCCTCCCTTCACTCATCACTGAGATGGGGAAGAAACACCAGCTCACATGTGAAGCTATCATGAGGAGAGGTTTGCCAAGTACTGAGAGCTCAGGGCTCAGTACAGGGCCTCTGCTCCCAAATGTCAAAATTCTGGTCCCTCCTCAACAATCCTCAGGCTCACCCACCTCCAGATAGTTCCCCATTGCAATGTCCAGCAACACCAGGTCAGTGAGGAAAGTGCCAAGGAAGGGACGAACCCTGTGTCATGGGGGTGGGGGTAGGATGAGTTCACAGCGACTCTCCCCTGAAAATGTTTCAGCCTCCTGGCCCACCCCAGGTTCCCACGTGGAACACGTAGTACTCTTAGCAGCCTCCCCTCACCCTCCAAGAACATCAGACTCCTCTTAGTCACTGCCAAGGCCTGCTTTTAGAAAATCACACCATTATGTAGCCCTGAGCCCCTCCCCATCCACAAGTCCATTCTCTATCATGCTTTATGGACCCTCATCCTGATCACTTTGAAATAATTTTAGAAGCTGTTGCAACAGGAGGTGGAGATCAAGTCGGAAGGTCCCACCTGTCTTGATTTAGAGGCTTCCAGTTGTCAGGGAGGAGCCCCTCTCTTTTGACTTTGGAGGCCCTGTACCTTAGGACCTGTATGTACTTCAGGACGTCTTCTTCAGCCTCTTCTGGGCTCTCTGGTGGTCCATCACCAGGGTGGCAAATTTAGATGCCTGTTCCTGCAGGGCCAGAGGCAAGTTCCTTGAGACCATAATACCCTCATCCCATCTCCCCCCACCATCTTTGACTTTAGATTTTATAAAAGGAATTGATAAGAAGTTGGTTGAAAAAAGAAAAGAGGATTTAAAAAAAAAAAGGAGAGAATGTGGTCAGGCAGGAGACTGGAACAAAGCCATACACTAGAGATTTAGGGTATATTTTGGTCTGTTAGAAAAAACTGTACCCCAAAATTTTAGAGAGAAAACTTTATATATATACCAAAAATAAGATTAACTATTATGAAGGGATAGAATATGACTCTATAAAAGAAAAATAAAAAAGATTTTTTTAAAACAGGTATTGATAAGATGTTGGTTGAAAAAGGGAAAAAGAAAAATGCAAAAAAAAAAAGAAAGAAAGTAAAAAAAATTAACTTGAAAGACTAAAGAATCAAGGGGGAAAAAGCCATGCATTCTATATGCAGTATTCCCCTAGTGCTGGAGTTCTGCCATTTTCATTGATCGGTAAACTTTGTCTTGGCTGGCTGTTCTTGCAGATCTTCTGGGAGAGGGGCCTGTTGCTGTGGTTTCCAAACGTCTTTGCCGGAGGTGGAATTGCCCCGCCCTGCCTGGTCTAGGGTAAGTAATCTGCTCGGGTTTGCTCCCGGGAGCTTTTGTTCCCTGCAAGCTTTCCCTACAGCTTTGGAGGACGAGAGTGAAAATGGCGGCCTCCCGATCTCTGCCCCAGAGGAGCCGAGAACTCGGGGCCCGACTCCTCAGTGAGCCGCCAGAGAAAAGCAGTCAGTCACTTCCATATCCCCAGTCTCTGGCCGCACTCCGTGCTCACCCGGCCTGTGACCAAGCATTTCTATCTCTGGCACCCGACCCCATGGGGTCTCCAAGCTCAGCAGATCCCTGTGGTGCGCTCCCTCACCGCTCCTCCCAGGGGAGAAAGAGGAGTCTCCCCGTATCTGCCACTTGTTGGGTCCCTGCTGGAGGAGCCGTGCCCCGACTGGGCCGCGGATCACAGTTTATGGCAACCCCGAGCTGAGAGCCCGCGCCTTGGCTCCGTCTCCGCAGCCACCTTCCCCGCTCCGATACCTGGGAGCTCTGCTGCACTCAGGCACCCCCGGTCTTTCTGTGACCCCGAGGGTCCTGAGACCACACTGTCCCAGCGAGTGTTCCACGCCCCGCTTAACCACTGGAGCAACGTCCCTCAGCAGAGCCTAAAATTTGTTCTGCTCCCTCAGCAGAGCCTAAAATGACTTCTAAAATTTCCGATTTTGTGCTCTGCTGCTCTATCACTCGCCAGTAGCGGCTGACGGAAGTCCCCTCCCCCGCCGTCTATCTTCCCGAATATCCCCTCGGATTCACTTCTCCGCACGTCCTACCTTCCAGAAAGTGGTCGCTTTTCTGTTCAGAGAGTTGCTGCTATTCTTTTCTTCCATCTCCTGTTGAATTCGTAGGTATTCAGAATAGTTTGATCCCTACGTAGCTGAATTCCTGGGTACAGATGAAATTTAGGTCTCCTGCTCCTCTGCCATCTTGCTCCCCCCCATCATGTTTTTACTTGGTCTTATAGTCCACCATAATGGTCCAAATATGGGTGAATCCATTCATACCATGGAGGCCATGAAGATGTCATATCTAACAAACTATGGACATGGGTGCTTATCATGTGTAGAGTGACCGTCTGACCCTCTGACTAGAACTGAGACCCAGATATTGTATCTACATTATTCATTGAATTATCTTAGTGATTATAAAGTGCCTGCATTACTATGCTTAATAGATATTACCGAATAAATGAATCCCAACCAGTACTTTCCAAATACTGAGCGGACCTTGGGCTGCTCTGCCTGCCCCCAGTGACCCCTAATCTTCTCACGTGAGGGACAAGTACCAGGACCAGCTAGATGGAATCTCAGAAGTCCTTTGCAAACAGAAAAACTGCCTGCTTTCCATCCGCTTTTTAAAGCCAGGAGGGTTGAGGTTGAGAGCTTCTTCACTTGAGAAAGAGAACTATTGAACATAAAGATGCCCAGCATGTCCAGCAGCCCTTTCCACAGAGCCAGGTACCAGATAAGCCCATGCCATGTTTTCTCCCATGATTTCCTACAGTAACCCTATGAAGTTCATCTTCTTACAACCCCACTTTTCAGAAGAGGAAAGTGAAGCTCAGAGAGGTACAGTGACATTCCCAAGACATACAACTAGAAGATGGGAGCCTCACCCCTGCACTTTGCATGGGGTGGGCACTCACCTATTGAACTGCTGACCCAGGACCTGTTGGGCTGTGGTGAACACCTGGTATATGCAGGAAATGGTTGTGATGTTTGAGATGTTTCTATCCTGGAAGGATGGTACCAGGGTCTGTATGAAATTCTCCATTGTGCCTTCCTTGAGTGTCAGCATCTTGTAGAAGCCTCTTCCAGAGACAGTGTTGATTCCCTTTTCATACCATGTAGACAAGGGGGGGCAATGTAGTCAGCTTCAACACCATGAGCCACCAGAAAGATCAGGATCCGTTGCTCAGACCAGAGACTCCCATCCCTTAGGGAACTTGTGCAAGAAAAGGGACTTGACTACCCACACAGAAAAAGGTTCTAGGCTTAAAAGTACAACTGGTTTTTGGGGTGAAATGATAAACCATTGGTAAGTTCAATGCATTCTGTTAGCTGAGCAACAATTGTATTTCTATTAATAGCCTTTCTCTATTAATAACCTCTATTAATATTCCTAACTCATAGCCTTTATTAAGAGCAGTATGCCATTGAGTCATCAGTAAACATCCCCACTGTAGATAGGAGAAAACAGAGGGTTAGAATCTCAAATGCTGCTCAAGATCATGTACATTGGGCCTGAGAACTTTCCAAAGCATGGGCTGCATGGCAATTCTCCTAAGCTGATGAGGCTTGGTTTGTTCCTGAAATGGGGAGAAAGGTTCAGGGGGAAACCACCTGCTTCAGCAGGCCCTGGGGGAGCCAGTTGTTTCTAGTCTGGGTTCTGGACTTGCCCTGACCATCTCTGGGCACTGAGATAAACATGAATCTGTCCATTCTCACCCCAGACAAGCACTTGATGTTTTTGGTGGCCTGATGCATCTTCTGCTTGTCGAGGGAGATGGAGTAGCTGAACCCTTGGAGCAGCTCATCAAAGATTTCCTGGGTGGAATTCTGAAGGGACGGAGCCAGCTACCTGGGCCAGAAGGCATCAGAGACCTTCCACCTGATCTGTGGTTCTACGTTATGGCAGATCTAGCAATTAAAACAGTCTATTAAGACACTTAAGGTTTTTCTTGCAGCACTGCTGAAATGGCAAAAGAATTGAATCATGTCAAGTTCCAACAGCCTTGAAAGGCTGAATCACTGTGGCAGACAACCTCCTTTATGGAGTATTATGAAGACATATAAGGACACAGCTTGTGACCTGGTGAACCTACAATGAGATGATCTGACCTACAATGTTCTTTTTTTTTTAAAGATTTTATTTATTTATTTGACAGAGAGAGAGAGAGCACAAGTAGGCAGAAAGACAAGCAGAGAGGCAGGCAGAGGGAGAGGGAGAAGCAGGCTCTCTGCTGAGCAGGGAGCCCGATGCGGGGCTCAATCCCAGGACCCCGGGATCATGACCTGAGCTGAAGGCAGCCGCTTAACCAGCTGAGCCACCCAGGAGCCCCTGACCTACAATGTTCTGAGAGATGACAAATTACAGAGAAACATAGAATGGCTTCACTCCACCCTTCCTTTTGTGTTAAATCACCCTATTTAGTGTGATGATTTATAAGGGCTTGAAGAAGTTCTGCAAGGACAGTAGAGCTGGGTTCTACACAGGATATCTGGGGTGAGTAGGTAAAATAATAAAAACAGTATAAAATGCAAAGATACTCATGGCTTTGTGAAAAGTAAAAAACAAAAAATAAAAGAACATAAAAAACAAGCCCCCCTAAAAAACATTAAATATGTTCTCTACTATTCCAACACACGTGAAGAATGTCTTCCTAACTTATCATGTAGCTGGTGGTGGAGGTGTGAAGGTTCAGATTACTTTGTGGTTGGGACACTCATGTGGAAACACTATGGGAGGGCCCCAGGTTTGTCCCCATATTTGTGTGGGAGCCCTAAGTGTGGAGAACCCTCTTCCCATTCTCACCTCAGAGCAGCACTGATCTTTGGCAAACTGGTGCACCTGACCCTTGTCTAGGGAGTTGGAGTAGTTGAAGCCAAAGACCAGCTCCTCAAAGATCTCCTGGGTGCAGCTCTGCAAATACAGTGCCCCATATATACAAGGCCAATAGGCATTAGGGTCCTCCCTGGACATTGCCACAAGGAAACCCCACCCCCCCATTAGAAGTTGTATTCTCCAATTCAGCCTAAGTGGGGCAGCTGAAAAGACATCCAGCAAGGAGGAAGCCAGATGAAACTCTAGGGCTCAATTGAAGTTGACCTTGGTCCCCAGCACTCATCTTCTCATCCTGCCTCCTATGACCTGAAAGATGTGCCAGGCTTCCACACCTGGCAGCTTGCTTCTACCCAGGAAGGACATGTCCCTCATCCTCTGTCCCCTCCTGTATGCACACACACACCATGAGAGGCAAGAGGTGTGGGCCTGCTGAGGTGGGATCACAGTTTTGGCGTGCTCTCCAGTGGGGTGCCCTGAACTGCCTTGTGTTACCTGTTGGTGTCTCCCGCCACTTGACCAGAAGCTTTGGAGAAGTGGACTGAGCCGATGTGTACAGTGACATAAAAATCTCTCACTCTGGACTTTCTTCAGGCCAGACCCTCTGAAGGTAGGAATACAGCAGTAGAACATCTTGTTCTTTTGAACATCTCTGGTGAAGTGATCTGGAAAACAGGCTGTCTCTAGAATGTGGGTGCAACCAGAGTTCTAAGTTCAGTTGGGGTGTATCACCAATGACGTGAGGTCACTTTTTCAAGATTCCAGCACCTAGGCTCCTTTGTTCATTTAGACCTATCCAGAGCCCCTTCTTGACAGTTGACTTCTTACCTTCTCCCCCATGTCATCTCCTTAACTGTAAAAAATGAGCCAAAAGTGCCAAAGCCACAACTCTATGGAAATGTAACTAAAGTCCTAACTTCGAGGACACACAGATGAATTCAGACCTTTGTTTTCCCAGCTCTTTTTCCTAACTCATTTTGTCTCTCAAGTATTCTCGTTTGCCAACCTGAATAGTGGAGATCAGATTAGAATCTACTTCCTAGGGACATCATCAGTGTATGTGGGTAATATTTATAACGTGTGGGATGGTATCATGTGTATCTGAGGCACAAATTTAAGGATGGAAGAATTACAAGAAAGGGTGGGACTTGAGGCTTAGGTTCCAGCAGTGTAATATTGGAACAGTCACTTTCCCTTTTGGCTTCATTTGATTTTTTTTATTATGTTATGTTAGTCACCATATAGCATATCATTAGTTTTTGATGTAGTGTTCCATGATTCATTATTTGTGTATAACACCCAGTGCTCATTGCAACATGTGCCTTCCCTAATACCCATCACAGGGCTACCCCACCCCACCCCCCCTTCTCTCTGAAACCCTCAAATTATTTCCGGAGTCCATAGTCTCTCATGGTTTGTCTCCCCCTCTAACTTCCCCCCCTTCAATTTTCCCTTCCTTCCTCTAATGTCCTCTGTGCTATCCCTTATGTTTCACATATGAATGAAACCATATGATAATTGACTTTTGCCTGCTTGACTTATTTCACTTAGCATAATCCCCTCCAGTTCCATCCATGTCAATGATCTTTCCTGATGGCTAATATTCCATTGTATATATAAACCACATCTTCTTTATCCATTCATCTGTTGTAAGGCAACTTGGCTCCTTCCACAGTTTGGCTATTGTGGACATTGCTGCTATGAACATTGGGGTGCATGTGCCCCTTCTTTTCATTACATCTGTATCTTTGGGGTAAATACCTAGTAGTGCAATTGCTGGGTCATAGGGTAGCTCTATTCTTAACTTTTTGAGGAACCTCCATACTGTTTTCCAAAATGGCTGTACCAACTTGCATTCCTCTCCAACATTTGTTGTTTCCTGCCTCGTTAATTATGGCCATTTTAAATGGTGTAAGGTGGTATCTCGATGTGGTTTTGATTTGAATTTCCCTGATGGCTAATAAAGTTGAACATCTTGCTTATATCCATATCAATTAGCTCTGTGGCAGAGAACATTGCCTCTGGTTCCTTCCTTTGTTGTGACTTCCTCTTTCTAGTCATTCTGCCCAAGGAAGAATAGGTGAGTGAATTAACAGAGTCCAAAATATCAGCCATGACCCAAGCAAAATGCACCCTAGAAAAAATCTGAAGTTGTTGGGAGCCATCACCGAAAAGCAAACAAAGCCAATAGGGAACAAAACAGTAAAAAATGGTTGGGGGGGAGGGAAGAGAGACTATAATCTCACAGGGTGGACAAAGCAGGATGATCTACTTGTACCTAATTGAATTTAGGTCTCTGTGTTAGAAGACCCTACATCCAAAAAATGCAAAGAAAACAGTTTATATATATATAAAATTGAATAGAATGAAAAAAGGACTAGATGAGGCATAAATCTATAAAACGTAGATGTGAAAAAAGGTTAAAAAGTGACTTAAAAACATAAATTTGTAAAATAAGAATCTAGTTGCAATGGGAAAGAGGTTTAAAAAATGTAAAATTTTAGACTGAAGGAAAACAAGAGCCCCTAATGTCATTGCTCCCAGGTCACAGCTGGGTGCCACCCATCTGCCCTTTCTGGGGCTACCACCACCCCAAGAGCTGTTGCACAGTCATGGGCACAGCTGTTTCATCTCTCCCAAGGGATGTTAAATGGCCCAAACATTCCAGTCCTCTTCAGGGTGCTCAGGCAAAGTGCTGTCTCTCTACCAGCCCAGCTTGTGGTTTATGGCAACCAGAGCTGAGAGTCCCTTCTGGGCTCACTGACTTTAACCAGTTTCCCCACTCCACTGCTTGGGCACTGTATCAGATTAGACACCCCTGTTCTTTCCGTGTCTCCTGGGATTCTGAGTCCACAATGACCCACCTAGAATTCTGCCCTTTTCATCCCCTGTGCCGCTTTCAGAAAGGGATGTCTCTCAGTGGAGCAGATTTCTAAGGGTTCCAGTTTTGCAGTCTGGCGTTATATGACTTTCCAGTAGCCAGCTGATGGAGGCTCCCTCTCCTCTCCTTTTAGCCTCCAATATTTCCCCAGAGATTCTTGATTCAGCACCTCCTATTTTGCAAAAAACACTCATTTTTCTGCTTGTAGAGTCCAGATATGTTTTCTTACATCGAGGCTGAATTCATGTGTTCAGAAAGGTTTGATAGATACCAGCTAAATTCAAGGGACCAGATAAAATGAGGTTCCCTATTCTGCCACCATCTTGCCTCCCCTCCCAACCTATGTTTCTGCTTTTGTACATTAAGGACCTGTTGTCCTGAGCTGCTCCCAGGATTTTCTGTTTGTCTCTGAATTTGCAAGCTTCACTAATATGTTGGGGTGTTGACTTATATTTTATTGATTTTGAGGGAGGTTCTCTGTGCCTCTTGTACTTGAATGCCTGTTTCCTTTCCCAGATTAGGGAAGTTCTAAGCTATAATTTGCTCAAATAAACCTTCTACCCCTCTCTCTTTCCTGATCTTCTGGGACCCTTAATATTCTGATATTATTGTGCTTTATGGTATCAGTGATTTCTTGAAGTCTCCCCTCATGATCCAGTGGTTGTTTTTCTTTTTCTTTTTCTCAGCTTCCTTATTTTCCATCATTTTGTTTCCTATATCACTGACTCTCTCATCTGCCTCTTTTATCCTAGCATATAGGGCCTCCACTTTTTTACTGCATCTCAATAATAGCAGCTTTAATACTGACCTGATTAGATTTTAGTTCTTTTATTTCTACAGCTTTTTTCAAGTCCAGCTAGTATCTTTAAAATTGTTTTGAATTCTACTTCTAACATCTTACTTATATCCATATTGATTATATGCTTGACAGAGTACTACCTCCCGTTCTTTCTTTGGCTGTGAATTTCTCCTAGTCATTGTGTCCAGAAAAGAAAGGAAGAAAGAAAAAGAATAAAAGGAATAACAGCAATAATAACAACAACTTCAGGACATAATTCTGGTACATGTTGTGTACACTCTGTTGTGTTTCAGCTGCTCTTTCCCACTTACCCTTAATCTACAGAGTTCCTCCTTGCTTGTATGGGGAGTGTTTGGGCCTTAAGTAGGTATATTTTGATTTGTGGAGTTAAGCCAGAAGCTAATGTTTTGGATCTTTCTTTAATCAGTTGATTTGGTAGATGCCAGGGCCTATATGGTCTTCTGAGGGAAAGTCCTCCTGGGTTGGCTCACAAGCTGACTTTTCCTTGTAAAGATGCTCCTGCTAGGTCGGGGGGTGGGTGGGGGGGTGGGGGGGTTTAGTGTAGGGGACTCCAGCCTCCACTGGAGGCGCTGCGTCTCTCTGGAGTCAGACTGTGGTGGTAGGCAGGAGGAGGCTGGGGAGGTGGAGGAGGTAGAATATGGTGTCACCTTGCCCTCTTGTCCCTGGGGAACAGAACTCCCGGGAGCTGCTGTTCAGGAGGCCCCCTTAGAAAAGGAAGCAATCTCCTGTGACCCAGGCCCTCGTCAGCTGCCTACCCTAACCCATCTGTGCCCAGGTCTTTGGCACACCCAGAGCCACAGATCTCCTGTACTTTATCTCTGGCCAGTGGCTGGGATTCAAAACTCCAAGTTTTAAAGGGCCTGGTAAGGTGTGTGCCCACTTCTGTGCCCCCGGCAGGGAGGCTTAGGGAGGCTTGGGTTGTGCCCAGCGCTGTCCTGTCTCCAAAAACTGTCACACAATGTGCACGCAGAGACTAGAGTTTAACACTCAGTGACAAGGTGGAGCCAGGTTATCAGTCAATCTGCACTAGACTCAGTCTCCTATTCCCCTTTGTCCCAGAAAAACTGTCACAGAGGCTTGGATATATTGTGGCAGGCAGCAAAATGTAGTGGCCAGGTTATCCGCAATCTGTTCCAGTCTCTACACTCTGCTCAGTTCAGCCCCAGAAAAGTGGCTGCTTGGCACACATACGAGGTTTAAGCCTATTATAGCAGACAGCAAAAAGTTGAGTTTTTTGCCCTCTGCACATCCCTCTGACCCTCCTACTGAGTTCCACTCAGTGACTCCCCAGCTGACCATTTGTCTTTAGAGAGGCTAAAAACACTCTTCCAAATGTCTCCAGAAAGGGAAGCAATCTCTCCCTGAGCGACCCAGGGGATCTCCTCACTGTGGCGCCCTGTGAAGTTGCAACCCGCTGGGCTATTTCCAGCTTTTTCCCTCTTCCTAACTTTGCTTTGTGAACCAGGCTTCCTCCCCTTCCTGGCCACACAGCTTCCCAATCCCCCAATCCAGGGCTCTGAATCTTGCCTCTGCCAAATTCTCTTGCTCAAACTGTGCAGACTGTTTCCTTACTCCTCCGATCCTCTTCCTGGTTGTTCAAAATAGTTGAATGTTGTATTCGAAGGATGTGGCAAGTTCAGGGTCCCCCTAGTACTCTGCCATGTTAATTTGTCCCCCATTTTGAGTTTATTTTTGTGTGTGATGTAAGAAAGCGGTCCAGTTTCATTTTTCTGCATGTTGTTTAGTCTTTCAGTTTTATTTTTTTCAGGAATTTTCTTTTTTATCCTTTAACTTTTATATTTATATATACATTATATATACATATGTTTTACATTTTTGGTTTCCTTTCATTGTATTTTATTTTTGTATATATATTTCTTCCTTTCCATTTTTGATCTAGTTTCCTTTAAAAGCAGACCAAAATAAACCCAGGATGTAGTTTTTTGTTTTTTTCCCCTGTTTTTTTCTTCTTTGATTTTTTTTTTATTTTGGTTTTTTTTCTTTTTCTGTTTTTGTTGTTATTGTTCTCTTTTTCTGCTGTTCTGTCCTAGACAAAATAATGAAACAGGGAAATTCACCCCAAAAGAAAGAACAGGTTAAATCAGATTAAATCAATTGACAGGGATTTAATCAACATGTATATAACTAAGATGTCTGAACTAGAATTTAATGATTATAAAGATACTAGCTGGACTTGAAAAAAGCAAAGAAAACACTAGAGAATCACATAGTATAGAGATAAAAGAACTAAAATCTAATCAGGCTGAAATTAAAAAGGCTATTGCTGAGATGCAGTCCCAAATGGAGGCTCTAAAAGCATGGATAAACAAGGCAGAAGAGAGTCACTGATATAGAAAATGATGGGAGGGGCGCCTAGGTGGCTCAGTCATTAAGCATCTGCCTTCAGCTCAGGTCATGATCCCAGGATCCTGAGATTGAGCCCCGCATTGGGATGCCTGCTCCGCAGGAATCTGATTCTCCCTTTCCCACTCCT